AGGTCTAAACCAGAACTAAACCAGGATTGTACCAGGAATAAACCAGGACTAAACCAGGTCTAAAACAGGACTGAACCAGGACTGAAACAGAATTAAACCAGAACTGAACCAGGTCTAAACCAGGACAAATCTTGGACTTGAAAGAGAGGGAGAAGCCCGAGCCCATGGAGCAGGGTGTCCGCAAAGCACGATTGGGTGATGGCTGCGCTTAGCCCCGTGGGGCTCTGTGCCACTCTTTTCACCCTCAGTCACCCGAAGGTCTACGCGGGCGCACCTCTGGGCCTGGTTCACTTCTGGTTTAGTCCTGGTTCAGTCCTGGTCCCCCATGTCTCAGGTCACTAAAGGACAATAGTGCAGATATCATGAGCCTATGCAGTTTGTCTTCACCGTTGCTCCGATTTGACATTTAAGTTGTAGCTATTTTGTATTTCTTATTTTTTTCATATCTCACATCGAGAGAAGTGAGTGGACGGCGTACCCCTGTGTACCACACTCACCATACCTCTGCTACTAACCATAAGGACGGGTCGAACATTACCCCTTAGAGATCACTAAATTACTCAAACATACATGAATGACATATAAAACAACTTCTAATTTTTGATCAGGGAACAATGTTATAACAAGGCATAACGTTCCAAAAAGCTGATTTTGTACAATACTCCCTTTTCAAAGAACTATTGTATGATACTCAGGAAGGGTGTAGTTAGCATGCTAGCTGCTGTTAACTTTACCATCACAGCAAAACTCCGCACTGGTCTCTGAGAGTTGATGAAATCGCTTCTAAACATATTTATGTCAGTAAAAATCACACACACGCCATTTGAACGTTTTCCATTTGAGACATTTTTATTACGTGAATATTACAGTATAAATAAGACAATCATTTAATAAATATCTGTTACAGTATATAGTCTCCTACCAGTACAGTTAGTTCATACTGTCAAAAATGAATTCACAAGACAATACATCGGGTACAATTCGCACAAGGACATTTGGGCATGCTTGGATCACAAACGTCAAAATACGTAACGATATTTGACTTTACTCCCCATTTATGTAACATGCAGCTCAGATAGTGTAAGTACAGGCATTATGCAAAACAAACGAGAAGGTTTTTTACAACATCTCAACAGCGGAGTGCAGAGAAAATGCAAAGAAAGCGTGTCATTAAAGGCCATTTACATTTAAAACGCATCGTTGCACAAGTGATTTGCAAAATGCCATCTAATTTCGCTGTTCAGATCTGGCCCAAGCTGTAATTTTCAACCTACACAGTCCATCTCGCTGACTTCATTTTAACGTAAAACTAAAAATAACGCTAAAAATACTAATTCAAGTAGTTCAAAAGACGCATGTTTTGTAGACGTACATGGCTTTCAGTTTAGTAGAGGTAAGTTTGAAGAGAGAGTCCATTTTACGATGGTGGAAATGAGATTAAAAAGTGCATCCGTCAAAAGATTTTTCTCGGTGGAGATGTTATTTCTTTGTCTGGAATGTTTCACAGTGTGGAATTAAACTTGTTTTCCTTCATGGAGACCGAACCAGACCAAGTTGCAGGTCAGATCTGTGGAGAGGCGACCCCGCTCACAGTCAGAACGCCTGTTTTCGAAGGTACTTTTGAGCTATAAAACCACCTGTAATTGAGAAAACGTAAGATAAAACTGTTTAATGTCACACTGTGGAACATTCCAGAGCGATGACATGTCCATAGAAACGAGCTGATGACGGATTCCTAACAAAAAAGTTGCACAATGGTCCTTTAAAGGAAGCAATGATTTTTTTTTTTTTTTTTTTGTTTGTTTGTTTTCGCCAAGTTTCTTTATCTGTTGTGATGTAGATTTAAGGCAAGAAGTGACTTGTGGTTGCAAAATTAGAGGGAACCATCCCCAAAACTAAAATCTAAATAATAAAAAAGTATTATTTAAGTTATATGTATTAAAATATCCCAACATACAACTTCAATATTCTATTTCCACAACATTTAAAGAAACCTGAAACATTTGATGCTGTTTTAAGGCTTATGGCTGATGATATTTGCAAGAGGTACGAGTTTCTTCCCTAAATAAAACACATACGAAATATAATACAGTTCCTTGTATACTTTTTAAACAAACATGACTAAGACTACGTGCAAGTCTCCATCTCCAAAGCACAGCCAGATCTGAACAGGGCCAAAGTCACGAACGCTAGAATGGCTTTTACATTACGTTACATTGCATTGCTTCGAAAACAAAATACTTTTACGTAGTTTGACAGTAAAGGTTACTTACAATGATCCAGACCAAAGAGTAACTGTTCTATACACACAGTCTTTACATGGCACGGGTAGCTTATTTCAAACCATTCAGAGCCAGTGAAAGTTTGATTGACTTTTTTTTTGCCAAAGTTTCTGCATAAAAGTGAAAAGTGACAGTACTGCAAATACTGACAAGATGAGTCCTGCTTTCTGTTCTAATCTAAAAGCCAGGTGTCCACTGCATGAATTTGTTCATCTGCGATGAAAGATTTCTGATCATGGGGAAAACCTTGGAAACCGTTTGACCTCGCAGCATTAGGATTCGTTCGCTCGACAGTAGGCGGGTACTTTTTTTATTTAACCAATCGAAGCTATTTGGTCATGACGTATGTGATGCCCCAAATCCCGTAGGAAGAAGGGCAATAACGCCTTTCGCCTTGATAAAATTCACCAAACATTCTCTTTGTTCCACCTTTAAATCCTCGATCTCGGGAATCGTTGCCAACACAGAATGTCTGGCTTCGTCTACATCCATCTCGACCGCTTTGTTTACTGTTGTGCTTTTTGTGCTGTACCACAAAAGGGACCCAGTCATGGCTTCACAGCTCTTCGCTGATTGGCCAGTGCGCGGTCTACAACTTCCGGGATTCTTGCAAACCATCTAGTGTATTCTGATTCCTGTCCTAGTCGCTGGAGAGAAATGAAATTGAGCTCAAAATCATGGGTCATAGACATAGACGCCGATTTCTGATTTTTCTATGGGGTGCTCAGTGCATGTTTCTTTACGTAGCACTGGAAACACACACGGAGCTACTCACTGACCCGCAAGTCCACGAAGTTTTACAGCTCTGTTAGAGTTTGTCACTGCATCCTTTTGGACTTACTCATTGTCTCTGGTGTTCTCCCTCTTTAATGTCCCACATAGACCAGCTCAGCTCGCGTTTTAATGAAGAGCGTTTTGTTTTGACCTGTTGGCTGTGAGGTAAGTTTTGCACAGTTTTACATCGAGGATTTAACCATTTTCCTTATCCTTATTAGTCCTTAGATCAGACCCACGGAGACATGACTGACTGAGAAAAAGAAACTACATCTCATCACACGGGGCTACTCACTGACCAGCGGGTTCATGAAGTTTTACAGCTCTGTTAGTTTGTCACTGCATCCGTTTGGACTTGCTCACTGTCTCTGGTGTCCTCGGCTCACGTTTTAATGAATATCGTTTTGCTTTGGCCTGTTGGCTCTTAGGTTCGTTTTGTTTCTGATCTCTGTTTTGCGCACAGTCAAGGATTTAACCATTCCCCTTATCCTTATTAATCCTAAAATCAGACTCACAGAGACATGACTGACTGAGAGAGAGAAACTACATCTCATTGTAAGCGTGCACTCTCAAAAACAGAATCAATTTAAGACTCACGTGGGTGCTCGGAGAATCGGCACCTGTGGTCGTAGATGTCACACGGGGAATGGGACAAAAATCAAACTTGGACCTGTTATACGACCAAAAACGAGCTACCCCGTTAGTAGTTGTTTGCTTTACCGCCATGGCAACACTCAACAAAAGCACTTATCGACTCATTTTAGTGAATAACGGTAATAATGACGTTCAAAGTTAAGTGAGGAATAATTTGCCACTTCAAATCGACTGGTCTGATACCTTGCGATCGATCTCTGTCACGAGCACAACAACCCAAGTGCTTTATCACCGAAACAGCAGAACGACCATCTCTCTCTTTGTCTCTTTCATTTACGAACTTTTAAAAACCCGAAAATGCACTTAGGCTTATCCAAACGTTACAATTACGTTACAGTGACAGCACCGTACCGAGCCTTGGAGCCTGATATCCGCTCAGACAAACCATTTTATCAATCTTATACGATGAATAAAATCTTGCGTTGGACACCGGGCTTTACACATTTCGCTAAAGTTATAAAGAGATATACAAATTTCTATGTAGGTAGTTTGGCTTGGTTCATTTACAAAGCACACAACTTCTCATTTACTACTGAAAATGCAAGCCGACGTGATGGTAGTTTTCAGTTTTGTTTCCTTAGCAGCAGAAGAAGATGTGAAAATTGTCACTTGGAACATTCATGATTATAATAGAGAGCCTATTCAACAAGCTGGCGGTGGATGTGACTGGATTTTAGACCCAGTGTTGTTTAAAATGATAAAAAAAAAAGACTTAAAAAAAAGTAAAACAGATTATCAACAACAAAAAAATAATAGTAGACCAATATAAAACTTTTAAGTCTGCAAAAGTCTACGTCAGAACTAAACTGGGGTCAAATGCGGCGAATGTGGTAAAGTGTCTTGCCTGCGGACACAAAAACACTGCCTGTTCTTTGGTTTTCCATAAACGCGTGTAATCGGATTGGCATTCTGGCTACATGAACTCTGAATTATGCACGGTTTTATCTCAGAAGCTAAGCAGAGTGGTTAGTTGGTGGTTAGTACTTGGATAATAACGAAAAACACGAGGATACATACAAAAAATTGATAAAATCTAAACAAATGAACTTGAAAGTAAAACTGAAATTTGAAAAGTGCTACTGGTATGTTTGCAAAATCGCTTATTGTCCAGTTGTATAAGGTCATATTGTTGAATAATAGAGATTCCATTGGCGTATAAGACAAAAACTTGCTTTAAAATCAACAAATAGTGTTAAAAAATATGATTCAATTATTTTAAGTTGACCCAAAGCAAGAATTTGAAGTAATATCTACTCAAATGCAATGAGTATTTGATTATATGTGGAGAAAGACATAATACACTACAATTTAACATTTAATTTGACATTTTTTATTACTTTATTTGAGTGTATTTTCATTTTATTGTCTTTTTTGGAGTGTATTTCATAACTGTCACCCATTGGTCCACTATTATTCTGTTACAAATGCCTCTTTAGTCCGATCGTCAACATCAGTATGCAATAATAACTGCAAATGTACCACACGAAATATAAAACATATAAAATAATATTAAAAATATGCGAAAAAATAAAAACAGGCAATCAACAGTAAGAAAAAACAACAAACACACGACACAAAACGACGTTAAAAACGCACTATGGAACTCTTCGCGTGGTGATCCGAGGTGAGTTTAATGCCATACTGTGGAACATTCCAGGCAAAGCAATAACGTCCGAATAACCGGACCCTCCGAAGTGACGGACCCTCCAGCGGAAAAGTTACATAGTGGAGCTTTAGCTAAATGTTAATAGTCCATACACTGAAAAAATCGTAACACTTTACACTTTACTTCAGATAAAATCGTTTAAAATTCAGAATATTTTCGATTTTTTTGTTTCGTTTTAAGCATCGATGACTTAACTAATTTCAAGATATACGTAACTTGTTGTGATATACAGCATTTTTTTTTTTTTTTTATTCAGCAAAATGAGTGCGAAATTGCTATTGGATGAAAAAAAACAAAAAACAAAAGAAAACAAAAGTCAGATATTTCTTGAAACCAGTAAAATAATCTTACTAAAACCAACTCAATCTAGATGAAAATTCTGAAACGAAAGTCATTATACGTCATCCTCCTGCCTACATTGCGATGGCTGCCCGGTCTCTTCCAAAGTCTCTGAGCGTGGTCTAGGCCCCCCCGGCCACGGTGGGCACGCTCCCCCCGTCCTGGGACACTTTGGCGGGGCACAGGTCGTGGAGCAGGCTGGAGTGGAGGAACCTTCTGTACGAGTCCTTCTCCATGAGCAGGTAGATCATCCTCTGGGCCTCGTCGAAGCACGTGGGGCAGGCGCGCTCCACGTTCTGCTTGGTCAGCTCCCGGGTGGCTGCGTCCAGGTTGACCTACGGGAAAAAAGACAAAATAAGTTAAGGGAACTGGGGATGTAACGATGTCCAACTCTCTTGGTACGATATTATCAGTACGATATTTATAACAATATTTTGGAGACGCTGATATAATTGTAAATAGGACACGTTTCTGCTTTTAAAATACCTTGACAACATTCTGGTCTGAATTATTTCCATGAAAATCCCAAGAATTCAAGTCAAAAACATATTTCTTCATGTTGTCTGCACTGAAATGAATCATGGGATATGTAGTTTCTGATGTTCATAAGCTGTTGCTGCTATAAAACCATGCATTTAAGCAAAGAAACTTGTTATTCGATATATTGTGACAGCCCATGATATTATTGTGAGACGATATGATATCACAATATTATACGGTATCAGATATCTGCTCCGATATTGAACATTTTGAATGATAATTTTGGTTTTGGTTGATAAATTGGTGTAAGTTTTGTAAGTTGTTTTGGAGTTACTGTAAATGATAAATAACAGTTACAAAATACATCTGGATCATTTTTATTTTTTACCATTAGTAGTTTGAGTTTTTAGGAAATAAATATTTTCAGTCTTTGTCGTATTATCGGTTGATATCAGGTGTCGGCAAATAGAATAAGTACCGATATCGGAAGAGAAAAAGGTGCATCCTTTACTCCTACAGTCACAGTTGATAGAGAGCACATACAAGTTTTTCTCATTCTCAGTTTATTGACAGGCCTCATTTTAAAGCTCAGAACCTCCAGAATTCCCTCCCTGAGCTGCAGAGGCTGCACTAGCACTGACTCATGACTGGCTGTAAGTCCTGAGTTGCCTTCGTGTCTCTCCCTGGAGTCTAACTGTGATGCTGCAGGACAAACAGGAGGGACACTTTTGTCCTTAGGGCTGTTACTCTTCTGAAACTGCTCTGACACAGGATCTGCAGACTCTACCTGACCAGTCCTCCTGTTAAACTGCACTGAGATCTCTCTATCTTTTGGGTTAAACTAGTTTCAATCAAAAGGTCTAGCTACCCAAAGTGTGAGCTTCATTCTGATTAAATTATCAGCTTGAGAGAGAAGAAAAAAAAAAAAAAGACAATCATAACTTATTGACCAATGAATTGACTAAACGACTCTAGGACTGCAGCCCAATTAATCTCCATCAAACTATACTTATATTTCGTATTTAAGATTTACATAATGTCCCTGTTCCCTTTTGAGTTTCATTCTCGCACCTTTAAAAAAACAATAAATTACTAAAAATACAAATACAGTAATTTGACAATTCTTTATTCTTTTTATTGTGGTTCGTCCTTGGGCTATAATTAACCGTTTTTCCTCCATCTTCTCAGCGACTGTCGTAACCTGCTGCAGACAACGTCAAAACTAAACTCTCTCATTACTTCTGACGACTTTCCCTCTTCTAATTCACAAACACCGGCTCTAATTCTGTCCTTTTCTCAAACAAATCTTAATTTTACCTGCATCAGTCTCAGCATGTTCTAATCCACCTCTGTTCCCACAAGTCATCTTCGTAAAACCAATTTAAGATTATCGCTCAATTTTCAGCTTTTCCAATTGTTTCTTATGTAACACTTATAAATCATTCTTTCATAACGGCAACATCGTTTGATCGCTTTTGATTGTTTCGTGATTAGTTCTTGTCAAAAATTGATTGGAACATTTGTGTGGCTCACCTACGAACAAACGGAAATATTATCAGCAAATGTAATAAACTGCAAGCTGACTTTAATGTGATTTTTACGGTCTTTAGTCTATGTTTTGCCAACCCGGTTTCATTAAAAGTTCATATGATGCAAAACTCTTCACTCTTTTGAACTTTACGTCATGTTAAAATGTTGTAACCTCCTCAAAAATATAAGAGTGGCTTGAGTTTACGAGAAGGAAACAAAATCATGTGTTTGTTTTCCACGTATCAGAGCAAAATTTCAGTAAAAACTTGCTATAAATTAGAGGTGTAATGATGATCCAATTCTCTTGATACGACATTTTCACGATATACATCTCACGGTACGATATTTTATGAACAAAATTGTGAATATGCCACTTTTGTTTCATCGTAATCCGAATAATTAAGCTTTAAAAGTGCTTAATAAAGTTTCTTTCAACATGTAGATTGGACTGAAACAGCGCAAAGGATCAGGGTCTATGTAGTTCCCTCTGTTTTCCCTCTGTTGCTGCACCATAACAGTGAATTTAATAAACTTGTGATAAACTTGACGATATTGTGAGACTTTTGACGATACGATATCACGATATTTCGGTTATTGTTACATCCCTGACTATGAATGAATGCGTCAAGAAAGCGAGAAGGTGAAGAAGTCTTATCAAAACAGGCCGCTAAATAAACTAAAATTTATACTGCAAACACATTCACATTCACGGCTTTGTCTTATTATCATGGTTCAAAGCCTTTCTATCGATGTTAAAATACCGTATCGACTGCTGTCCGGACAAAACGGATGCCCTTAAGAATCGCAGAAAAGTCCCTCCTAGCAGGAACAAAATAACGACTAATATTTTCTGAGTTCGAACGGTGTCAGATTTTGGGTTAAGGCACGAAGACGTAAATGTTTTGGTGAAGTGAAAGCTTCAAACTCAAGTGCACTCAAACTAACAGCCTCTCCAAAGACTCCAAAAGCAGCCCTGAGTTTTCAAACGCCCCACTTTTCTCTGAGATTGACGAGATTTAAAACAGTGAAAAGCTTTCCGGAAAATGTTGACGCAGTGTGATTATGCGATTGTTAAAAAGCTTTGAATATTTAAAGCCAGTAAAATTTGTGAAAAGTGACTGTAGTGAATATTTATCAAGACCATTACAAAGTGAACTTTTCCAAGTTTTTAAGACAGTAAAAATCAGGTACAGCGACTTGAAATCACACAAAATCAAGACTTGAAACTTTTATTTTATGTTTTTTGGAGTGTATAGAACGGCTTACATCATTTTTTGACTATAACGTTAAAGTAAATAGTAATTAAAAAGTGTTATGTGTGAATTCTTACCTCATTGGGAGCGTCGGCCTCTATAAATTGCTGGTAGATCTTCACGGCACGGTTCTGCAGTTGCGACGCCGGGCTCTTCTTGTACTCCTCACACGCCTCCCAGAACTTTAGGTTCTCCTCGCTGAACTCTGACTTCAGGAAACTGGAGAAGACCGTCCGGCCCACTGCAATAGAACAAACACAAAATAAAAAATTGGACTCTCACGAAAAGCAATGGAGCGAAACAGTGACCGCACACCCCCCATGGTTCTGGAAGTAAAGTTCTCATGGATTTTTCCCTTAAAGACATTCAAAAAACAAAGTGATACTATAAGTTGAAAGATTGTGGTAACTAAAGACCACAAGACCTGTGATTTTATTTAGAATCTGTTTCTAAAACTTTATAAACCACTAAGTTTTTAAAGTATTTCGCCAAATCTTGTGTTTTAAATGAGCTTTTTGGACCACAAACAACCACATTATGGATATTAGCCCCCGCGATGTCTTTGAACTCTTTAATATTTACATTTTTTGGCAAGTCTACGGGAAAAATGTACTTCCAGAACTGAAGTGGACAGGACTGTTGACATCCATATCTTGAATTTTGTTGAGATTTTGCACGTAATGGGATTTTCCATTGATATTGTTCCCCTTATATTAGAGAAAATGTCTTTTAAGAGTAAAAATACATTGTATAAGCAGCTCTTGAGGTCAAAATATGTCTGTTTTTCACATAAAAACTGAAAATACTGAGATCAATAGTGCTCAATGAAGGATATTTACAAGAGAAATGTAACAGTGTACTTGAGTCAAATATTTAACTCTTTACACTATGAGTAAGTACAAGAGACAATTGCTTCATAAATTACTTCAAAATACGTGTTCCTTGGATACATTTTTTGATATGTTTTGTGGTCTATCCTCTGAAATGAACAGATTGTGTGTATTATGTAAATCTTTGTCCTTCCAGTTATCTTCAAGTATATAGTAGTAGTAGAGTGTAATAGTTATTAGTTTGAGGTTACTGTACTTTTTTGAGTTTGAACGGTGTCAAATTTTGGGTTAGGAAACGAGTAAACGTTTTTGGTGAAAAACTACAAACTCAAGTGTACTCAAACTAACAGCCTCTCCAAAGGGAAGTCCATCTGTGTTTTCAAATGTTCCACTTTTCTCTGAGATTGGTGAGATTTAAAGCAGTAAACAGCTTTCCGGAAATGTTGTCCTTATTCGCTTTCAGTCTAATTATGCAGTTGTACTAATAGTAGCATATAATCGTTATTAATCTGAGGTTACTGCACTTTTATATAAGTACATTTTATCTAGTTTATGACCTCTGCAGATGTACAGGGTGTCCCAAAAATGTTGATATAATTTCACAGGCTGATAATTTTGGCAGTTCATGTTGAAATAACCTCAAATTTTCACAGAATTTATAGAAACAAATCAAGATTTTGTATTTAATGTTTTATTTTTCTTCTGTTTTCAGGTTGAGCTATTCACTCCCAAAGAGAAGTCATTTTGTGTCTTGGAATATGCACGCAGTCACCCAAGACTATGGATGAATGCACAATTTGCAAAAAACTTCATCAAAAGGCAAACAAATTTTGACTTAGTACAATGCTTCGGCTTCGCAAGAGTTTTTCATGAACTTGCGCGACCTTCTCTTCTGATGTTGTGGTTGGTCTACCAGATCCTTTAGCCCAGGGGTCCCCAACTCTCTGGCCTTGGGTCGTTTTGTACCGGGCCACAAAAGTGCAAACCCCCCTCCCACACGGACCTCCCATAGGTCGCGTGGGCTGCGCCTCTAAACCTGAGCTAAACCGGTCCAGGACTAAACAAGGTCTAAACCAGGACTTAACCAAGTCTAAACCAGGACTAAACCAAGTCTAAACCAGGACTTAACCAAGTCTAAACCAGGACTTAACCAAGTCTAAACCAGGACTAAACCAGGTCTAAAAACAGGTCTAAACCAGGTCTAAACCAGGACTAAACCAGGACTTAACCAGGTCTTATCCAGGTCTAAAAACAGGTAGAAACCAGGTCTTAACCAGGACTAATCAAGTCTAAATCAGAACTTAACCAGGTCTAAAACAGGTCTAAACCAAGTCTAAACCAGGACTAAACCAGGTCTAAACCAGGTCTAAAAACAGGTCTAAACCAGGTCTTAACCAGGACTAAACAAGTCTAAATCAGAACTTAACCAGGTCTAAACCAGGAATAAACCAGGTCTAAAACAGAACTTAACCAGGTCTAAACCAGGACTAAACCAGGTCTAAAACAGGACTAAACAGGTCTAAAACAGGATTAAACCAGGTCTAAAACAGGACTAAAACCAGGTCTAAACTAGGTCTAAAGCAGGTCTAAAGCAGGTCTAAAAACAGGTCTAAAAACATGACTAAAACAGGACTAAAACAAGATTTAGCCAGGACTTAACTACAGCGCATCGCGTTTCCTCCCATCCACCCCCAACCCCCTCCGGTCCACTAAATATTGTCGCATATAAAACCAGTCCGTGGGGTAAAAAAGGTTGGGGACCACTGCTTTAGCTCCTACATAAGCAGTTTCTATAAATTCTGTAAAAAAAAATGACATTATTTCAACAAGAATTGCCAACACGACTGACCTGGGACACCGTGTATTTTACAAAGTGCTTCAAAATCTAGGTCGAGGTTAAATTAAAACAACCCTGAAAATGTAAAAATCAACAGTTTCAAGAGGACCTTTTTGAGTTACATTAGCATAAGAGCCTGTTCGTTCAAAAGCTGGCCTTGGCTTTAGAGTTATTTATTCTTCGCTTAATCAGTGATGCTTTTTATCTCGTGAAAATGTGACTTTGGTACTTTGGTCGTTTTGAATTTTCCAGAATGACTGCGTTGACAGGAAAGAGGCGAGAGTGAGCGGGGTTATTGGGAGAGAGGTCGTTGTCTCCAGCAGTTTCCGTCACTGCACAGTTTTAGATGCTTTAAAACTCAGGGGAGAATCCATGTACGCAAGCTGACGGAGCATCGGACTGCGGACCTCTATGTTCTGTTCAAAGAGACATACTATGATTTCTGTGTGTATAGTTACGCTCTGTGACACACATGGATTGTTATTGTGTATTTGAACAGTTTACGTGGCAATATTGAGTTAAAAAATACAAGTTTGGAGCTGATTTTGACCTGCCTCTTTATGGTACGTAGTGGTGGAAGTGTCGCTTTATGTTCTGGCAGTTATAGTAGGCAGGATAAATAATACTTTTTCTTTTCAATTGCACCAAAATGCCATGTGAATCAGCACTGACAGCGACAGTATGTAACTTCTTCGCCAAAAAAAAGACTAAAATAAAGCCTTTTTTTCTTTTACTGCGCTGAAAAACTGAGTCATTAGTCCTGGAAAAGGGCCTCCTCCTGTTTGGTTCCATGGGAATATTATTCCTTTGGCTATAATCTTCCAATACTAAAAGTCTGAAAGCTTGCTCAGGCGTAATCAGCTCTGCGGTGACTAAAAACTAAAGTAAAAGTAAATTTGAACAAACATTATGAAATTTTGTATATCTGTTAAAAGGGGTGGAGCTGTGGAACAACTGTACAGAAAACCTAAAATTGTGCACCAGTCTCTTTCACTTTATAAAGAAGTTCAAATGTTTAACTCTGGACAGATGCATGAAATATGATACTTAGTTTGTGCTGTAGTACTTTGTTGTTCTGTTTCTGATTTGTTTGTTTCCTCTTGCTGAATTTATGAAGATGAACTGGTGTCAAGATGACGCTCTGACAAAGGAATAAAGGGTAGACACCTTTTCGGTCTGTGTATGTTAAATATGACTGTCTGTGAATTAATGTAAAAATATACCTGTGACCGAAATAAGTAATCAATATATAAGAGCTACAAGACCTATAATCTACTTTAAAATCTGCTTCTAAAACTTTATAAACCACCAAATTATTAACAGTAAAAAAAAGTGTAAAGTGTAAGTATAATAAACTCAAGCTTCAGCCTACACGTTTTTGGTCTGTGTATGTTAAATATGATAAATCTGTGGAATAATGTCAGAATATACATGTGACCAAAATAAATTAATAAATCAATGACATAAAACGTGTAAAAAAATGTTTCGAAGTACGGTTTTAACTTTCTATTTCAATGGAATCATGGAGAACACATTGTGCCATTTTTTTTAGAGAGTAGAGTAAGTAAGTCTTGATTTTTATAGCGCTTTTCAAAGACATATGTCACAAAGACACTTTACAGAGCATTATTCAGCATTATTCATTCACTCTGTACCTGGTGATAGTAAGTTACTATTGTAGCCACAGCTGCCCTGGGGCACACTGACAAGCAATGGCACTTATCTTACTCCCATTAAGTTTATATTTCGTTCCAGATTTAGGTTTGATCCCGGTTTAGTCTGTGAGAGTGAGATCGGAGCGAGTCGACGGGGTTATTGGGAGAGGGGTCAGTGTTGACTCGTTGTAAAGCCCGGGGGGAGAGGCTCACACATGGAGCAGCGGACAGAAGCGGACAGCAGTGGACATAAGGTCTCATGGGACTGATAACGCTGCCTCTGGACACGTAGCCCCAGCACCAGAGCATGAGAACCCACCAGCTCTGTGTATAGCAACAGAGAGTCTCCATACAAACTGTGCGGGAGTTTAGCGGACGGACAGTTTCAGTTTGACGATGTTTCAGTACAAAAAAATATAAAGAGATTGACACAGGATGCAGGTCCCAACTTATACGCCTGTTTCTGTTGCTCGAAGTTATGTATAAGGTGATCAGATTTTCAAAATAAAAAACTTGGACCTCCTTGGTTTGGGTTGGTAATAATAAAATTGTAAAACGACTGTGTATTTAAAGAAAACTGTTCTGCGCTTGGCACTAATTTGCGTCAGTATAGTCACATTTTCTTTGTGTTTTGATAATTTTTAAGCAGCTTTTCTGTATTTTACCAAAAGAGAAGACAATGTATGCATCTCTTTAGGGATCAGATTGGTCAAAAATAGGGACAACTGAGACATTTCTTGTGTAAAACTGGCACAGATCACTGTTTTTGGTTAAATCTGCTGGGACAGGGGACACAGGGCTCAAAACTGGGACTGTCCCGGGTAAAACTGGATGTCTGATCACCCTAAGTTATGAATTCTGAAGCCAATCTGCAAATACAAAGTATTTAACCTGTTTATTTCATTACATTTGTGTTATATTAGAACACAGTCTTAACGTAAAATGAGTTAGCCTTTAGTTTAGATTGCAATTTTACTCTAGGGTGACCAGATTTTCAAAATTAAAAACTGGGACATCCTTGGTTTGGGTTAGTTGGTCATAATAAAATTGTGATCGAGTGCGTAATTAAGGAAAATTGTTCTGCACTTGGCACTAATGTGAGTCAGTATAATCACATTGTCTTTGTGTTTTGGTAATTTTTAAGCAGCTTTTCTATATTTTACCGAAAGAAATGACAATTCATGCCTCTCAGGGATCAGATTGGTTAAAAATAGGGACACCTGGGACTTTTCTTGTATAAAACTGGGTCAAATCACTGGTTTTGGATAAATCTGCTGGGACAGGGACTCAAAACTGGGACTGTCCCAGGTAGATAGTTAAGTCTGTCACCATAGTTTTGTAGCTATCTAATGTTCAAACGATACAAATTATTTCATTACATATATTCATATATTTCATTACATTTGTGTAATGAAATAAATTGAAATCTTAACTTAAAATGAATTAGCCTTTAGTTTAGATCACAGTTTTACACTAAGGTGACCAGATTTTCAGAATTAAAAACTGGGACATCCTTGGTTTGGGTTGGTCATAATAAAATTGTGAAAGAGTGTGTAATTAAGGAAAATTGTTCTGCACTTGACACTAATGTGACTCAGTATAATCACATTTTCTTTGTGTTTTGTTAATTTGTAAGCAGCTTTTCTGTATTTTACCAAAATAAATGGCAATTGAGGCTTCTCCTCACTGTTAGCAGGGATCAGATTTGTCAAAAATAGGAACACTTCTTTTGTAAAACTGGGACATATCACTGGTTTTGGATAAATCTGCTGGGATATGGGGATACGAAACTGGGACAATCCCCGGTAAATAGGGACGTCTGGTCACACTAGTTTTGTTGCGTCTAATGTTCAAACGAATACAAATGGATTCTGAAGCCAAACCGCAAATAAAAAGTACATAACGTGTTTATTTTCATTACAGTTGCTCTAGGGTGACCAGATTTTCAAAATTAAAAACTGGGACATTTGTATTTTATGGTGGTTGTTAATAAAATAATAGTAAAACGAATGCGAATTTAAGGGAAATTATTCTGCGCTTGACACTAATGTGACTCAGTATAATCACATTTTCTTTGTGTTTTGATCATTTTTGTGCAGCTTTTTTGTATTTTACCAAAAGAAATGACTGAAAATTATGCCTCTCTTTACTGTTGGCAGGGACTTTTCTTGTATAAGACTGGGACAAATCACTAGTTTTGTATAAATTTGCTGGGACAGGGGACACAGGACTCAAAACTGGGACCGTCCCGGGTAAATACTGACATCTGATCACCCTGTTTTACATGCAAATCGTCATCTATATTCAGCAAATACTTTTAACAATGTTTTTTTTTTTCTTATTCTTTGTGTGTTTACAGCTATAGGAAAAATTACAGGGTAGTAGCTCCAGAATTATAACAAAAAATTGATGTCTACCAGACCGGCTCAGAGGTGATAGTCTGATTGCATTAGCATTGAACGCCCCGTCTCCGTTTTTAATGTTGTTGTGAAAAAATGATCATGCCTGTTTGTTATTTTCAGTTTCAGCGCCATTTTGAGTCATTTAGAAGATTCAAAAGATAATACGATATCTTGAATTGTTAATATTTTTTCGTCACTCCGATACCCATGTACACTATATTGGGAAATTTGTCCTCTCCCGTCGAACTTTTCAGGAGCAGTGAGCGCCCGTCGTGCAGCCGGAGGAGACCCCAGCCGGAGGAGGAGACCCCAGCCGGAGGAGGAGACCCCAGCCGGAGGTTTAGACTATTGTGGATGTTTTAATTTGATGAAGGAAGCTGTGCCAGAATAGCAGGAAGAGACCCACCCACACATACAGAACATTCTCCACAAAAGAAACCCCTCGTCAGGAACTCCAGCCACTCTGCCACCCTATATATGTACTGTTACTGTATTTATATAGGAGGACACTGGAGAAACTCACCCTTATGTAACAGATAATACTCCCTACAACTGTACAATAACTCACCCTGTGTAACAGATAATACTCCCTACAACTGTACAACAACTCACCCTTATGTAACAGATAATACTCCCTACAACTTTACAACAACTCACCCTTATGTAACAGATAATACTCCCTACAACTTTACAACAACTCACCATTGTGTAACAGATAATACTCCCTACAACTGTGCAACAACTCACCCTTATGTAACAGATAATACTCCCTACAACTGTACAATAACTCACCCTGTGTAACAGATAATACTCCCTACAACTGTACAACTCACCCTTATGTAACAGATAATACTCCCTACAACTGTACAACAACTCACCCTGTGTAACAGATAATACTCCCTACAACTGTACAACTCACCCTTATGTAACAGATAATACTCCCTACAACTGTACAACTCACCCTTATGTAACAGATAATACTCCCTACAACTGTAAAACAACTCACCATTGTGTAACAGATAATACTCCCTACAACTGTACAACAACTCACCCTTATGTAACAGATAATGCTCCCTACAACTGTACATCTCACCCTGTGTAACAGATAATACTCCCTACAACTGTACAACAACTCACCCTTATGTAACAGATAATACTCCCTACAACTGAACAATAGCTCACCTTATGTAACAGATAATACTCCCTACAACTATACAATAACTCACCCTTGTGTAACAGATAATACTCCCTACAACTGAACAATAGCTCACTCTTCTGTAACAGATAATACTCCCTACAACTGTTCAATTTAAGGGCTTGAAAATATTTGTGCTGAATATTTTAAAGTTTTTGTTTTGTTTTGTTTTGGTTTTTTTAAATGATTTTTTAAAACTTTAGATTTTTTTTTTACACTTAACATTTCAGCAACTGCCATTCAGAATAAAAATGAGTTATAAAAATGTTAAAGTCAGAAATTCAACGGCATTTCAAATCCAAAATCTGAAGAAGCAAATTATCTTCCATAGTTATTCTTTTAGATAATAGAATGTCTACAAAAAATAACAATTTTTGTTTATGTTTTTATCCTTCTTGTCTTTTAATTGAACATCTTTTTGTCACTCTGCTTCCGAAATGCATGAGATTCAGTCCAGACACTTTGTCAAATATAAACGGCAAATCAAATCTCAATACTCAATTTTCATGTTGATGTATTTTTTTTCAGAACTGTGCTGCTCTTGTACAAACAGGGAAATGTGTCATCAGTATTTGACCCAACCTCTAGCCCAACCCTAACCCAAATACACGACACATTCACCAGCGTAAAAACACTTTTGTTAGTTTTGTAGGTTTCAGGAAGTACGATTTTGCCTTTTTTTGGCGTCTGAAAACGGTCCATTAGCATTGTTAGCTCTGATTGAGTTGATTCAAGGCAATGGGTCTCCAGCGACCTCATATTTACCGAGTCTTTTCTGTCCAAACGAAAAGAAGATGGAGATAATGAGGAGATTGTGAAAGGAGCCAGCGAGCGTCTTTTGTGTTTGAGCTACTACAAATTGCCAAGAAAAAAAAAAAAAAAAACATAAAAAAAAAACCCTCAAAGCTATTTCTGCAAGAGATCGTTTTGGGAAAATACAAAAACTCTGCTATGGTGCGAAATTAGGTCATCACTTTTAACGACGTTTGTACTTTCTTTGAGTCTATTTTTGTACTTTAAGAATATGAAAGTTAAAGCCTAACAACATCACCATGGCAACAAGCACGTCGTCACGTCTCAAGTTTCGAATCAGGTTTGCGGAGAGGCGAGTCCACTCATGATTTGCAAGTGTTTTTTTGAGCAATAAAAACAGCCATAATGAAATAAAGGAGTGTTTATAAGATGAAATATTACACAATGGGGCTTTAAGTTAATATAATACTGTATTTGCTATATCTATAATTAATTAATGTGAAGTTAAAACAAATTTACTGGTATTTTTTATGGTCAAAAACATCATGAAGCAAACAGACGACTTTCTTTGAGTGGGCTCGCCTCTCCACAGATTCAGCCTGTAACTTGGGCTCATGGTGTCACCCACTCGTCTCCATATGAACTATTAAAGATTTAACTGTATAGTTTTCTATAGTTTTGACGGCTCCTTTGGCTCCTCTGTCATCAGTTTTAGCCTGTCATAGTGGGGTTAGTGTGGCCTTTTCACAGATTTTTTGGTATTTTGGTGGAGACATGAGGCGCCCCGAAGACTACAGGCCCAAATATCACCGTATACACAAGACATTTGAATGAAGGAGAGGAAAAAAATGGTCAAACTCACCGTCCGATTTCACCAGATGACTGAACGACTCCCTCCACTTCTCCACATCCACTGCAGTCGGGGTCCTGGAAACAGTACAAAGATTTAATGAAATACTGCTGAATACTATTACCTGTACTACATCTATACCAGTACCACTACCCGTACAATGAGGATTAAATAAAATACTTCTATACTTCCTCTATTACACCACTGCTTTAGTACCACTATTACTACCAGAGGTGGAATCAAGTCGTTGTTTTGCAAGTCTCAAGTAAGTCTCGAGTCTTTGACATCGAGTCCAAGTCAAGTCCCATGTCCAAGACAGGCAAGTCCAAGTCGAGTCTCGAGTCACTGCCCCAAAAGTCCAAGTCAAGTCCAAGTCGTCTGCTTTGAGCTTCAAATCATTTCAAGTCTTTACATTTTTGCGATTTATATGACTTTTAAGCCAAATTGTTCTTAAAAAGTCATGGTGTATTTATAAATTAGTATTTATATAATAGTTGTAGAAATGCAAATATTTCCTTTTTAAATGTCTTGCCAAGATTTTAGTGTGAATTATTACGGTCAGAATAGAACGAATTAAGAGTTAAAAGTGCTTAATAACAGTTATTTCATCATGTAGTCTGCACTGAATTGTACTGTATATTACACATGAACTGAAAAGAGAAAAGTATTTTCTAAAAACATATATTTTTTCAGGAGAAGCTTCGAGTCTTCTCAAGTCACAGGTCTCAAGTCCGAGTCAAGTCCCAAGTCATTGACCTTCAAGCCCAAGTCGAGTCCCAAGTCTTAGTCCATTTTAACAAGTCCAAGTCTCAAGTCATGAAAATAGTGACTCAAGTCTGACTCGAGTCCCCACCTCTGATTATTACTATTACTATTGCAGACTGTAGAGAAGAGATTCAATGTTTATCTTCTTTAAAGATTATAAGAAATGTTTATAGGCAATATTTTGAGGAGACATCCCCATTATGAAGATATACATGCTTATATTTGAGTCGACTTTTTGGCCAAAAAGTTACATACTGTGGCTTTAACATTAAAGAGCCCATATCACAACATTTTCTGATCTATGTTTTATACTTGTTCCCTCATCACAAACAGACCTGGAGTTGTGTTTTGTTTCATTCTTACACGTTTAACACACAAACGCTGTATAATTAGTCTAAGTTTTTCTCTCAGAACAGAAAACGCTGAACGTTGTGCCACCTTGTGATGTCATGTAGTAATACAGGAAGTGCTCCACTATGTTTTAAACTCCATACACCTTCACTAGAATTATTTTTTTATAATTTCAGCCTTGGAATAACTGCCAATCTCTGTTGAACTAAAGGTAAAAGGCAAATGATAACTTGAAAACTACCGCTTCATGACATCACAAGGTGGAACAGAACATTTTGAGCTTTGGAGATGTAGACAGACCAGTGTGAAATGTGTGAATGAAACAAAAAATAACTCCAGGTATGTTTGTAAGGAGGTAAAAACATTATAATATGACTAAGTTCACGAGTCAGTGTTATTACGGGACCTTTAAAACATCAGGAAGCTAAAAATATCGACTTCACAAAACAAAACAAGGAGTAAAACTAGGTATGAGTTTTATTAAAATCGTAAACATGCGTGAAATGGGTTCTCGCCTGTCATGTTGTTATTTCTCTTATTTGCAGTCATGGCACAAACACTAAACCCATGTAGTAAATGACAGCACAATAACAGACACATTTACCAGTCCAATTCTCGTATGTCATGTCTTTCTTACTCCATTTTACGTTGCAATTTTCTCTCGACTCCAAATTGGAAAACAGTCGACGCGGTACATCCTTCACTTTAACTCTCGCGGAATGTCAAAATACTGCTGAAAACATCTCTTTCTATTCAAATGAAGTGACATCTGCAGACAGCACATGTGAAAAGGAGCCGAGCGGAATTGATTTTGCTCAAGTCTATAGTCAATATTTGTCACTCACTTGAACCATTTTGTGCAATTTGGTATTGACTTTAATAAAAGGCATATTAAAGGGTCAATATTACGCTTTTCCGATCTATGTTATAATGTTTCCTCATCACAAACATACCTGGAGTTGTGTTTGTATTGTGTGTTTCATTCACACGTTTAACACACAGTTGAGTTCTTCTCAAACGCAAAAAAATACAGGAATCGTTTGCTGTATTCTTCGACTCCACACACCTTCACTAGAATAATTTGGATGATTTAAAACCAAAGAATTGCCAATCTTTGCTGAACTGAAGGTAAAAGGTATCTACTAATGTGAAAATTAGGGTGGGGCAGAGCATTTTGAACTTTGAAGATGAAGACAGAGATACCATAATTTTTGGACTATATGTTGCACTTAAAATCCTTTAATTGCGCCTTGTAATCCGGTGCGCCTTATGTATTAATTCAAGACGACTTTGGTAAGCTGCGAAACCACACCGGTTGATGGATTGTCGGAGCATCGACCAATTACGATCTACCAATGGATCGTGGATGCCCCAGTGCTGAGTTATTGTGAATGAGTTGAATAACGTTTGACTTATCTGACTGTTTGTTTCGCTTAATGCGCCTTATAATCCGGTGCGCCTTATAGTCTGAAAAATGCAGAACATAAGATGACTCTTCTTTTTGTTACTTTTCATTCATTTCTTGCATGTTTGATGTTGTGACACTGTTGATGTCTTTTTATACTTTAAGAATGAAATAAATAAAGAATAAATATACAAATAAACGGTACTCAAACGTGTAAATGAAACAATAAAACAACTCCAGGTATGTTTTGGGTGGAAGTAACAACCTTCTAATATGGTTTAAAGTTGCACTGTGTGACTTTTTGATTGGGGGTTCATCATCTGCTTGTTTCTATGGATATGTCATTGCTCTTCCTGAAATATTACACAGTATGACATTAAACACCTCTGCATTACATTTATTCAGCTCTACATTACATTTATTTATTCAAAAGGTGGTTTTATAACAATACCTTGAAAAACATTCTGACTGTAAGCGGGGTCATCTCCCCACTAGGGATGTATCAATAACCGACATATCGTGATATCGTATCGTCAAAGTCCTCACAATAATATCGTGGATCATCACAAAATATCGAATTAAAAGTATCTTTGCTTAAATTAAGAGTTATGATGCAGCAATAGCTAAAAAAAACTACATAGACCATGATCCTTTGTTCCATTTCAGTGCAGACTACAAGAAGAAGTAACAGTTCTAAGCACTTTTAAGTCTTAATTCTTTGGATTAAGTTTTGTCAAGGCATTTTAAGAGGAAAACCAGTTAATATAGATGTATATCATGAAAATATTGTACTGAGAGATTTGGATCTTGTTACATCCCTAATCGTGAGCCTCCCCAATATATCATGAGCGTTCCCACGATATCGCAATAAATATTGTACTGGATATCGTTACACTCTTACTATGTCACATTAAACAGCTCTACATAACATTTATTTATTGAAAAGTTGGTTTTCTAGCTCAAAAATACCTAGAAAACCAGGCATTCTGACTGTGAGCGGGGTCGCCCCTCCACAGATCTGACCTGTACCTTGGTCTGGTTTGGAGATACAAATGTTTAACTCCGTTCTGTGAAACAATCCAGACGAAGAAATAAATGCTTTTCTCCGTGACGGACGCTCTACCAGAAAATTTTCCACAGTGCAGTAAATTTGGACCTTCAAAACATCAATAGGACCTTTAAAACGTCAATATCGCCAATAATTAATATCGTTCCATTGACGAGTAATACCAACCAATACCAAGAAGACGTCCAAATCAAACAGTACGCTGATCCAGATGTCTTTTGAATGGATTAAAACGTGCTGAGAAAATGAGATTACTATTGATCCGTAGATAATGATACAACGATCTGTGGATAATGTTACAAGGTGAATGCAGGTGAATAGGGGAAATGTCAACAATGCTGAACAGGACTAGTTGAGTATTAGTGCCAAAGGTTTGTAATGGGATTTAAAGGGGAGGTGAGGGCTTAAAGGGTTTAAACGATCGCTGCTGTGGACCTCGCCGATAGCCAGCGCGGATCTCCACATGAGGTGAGTGTCTTTCGGTCACTGCGGGGAAAGTAAACAGTTGGAAAATGTCACGGTTAAAAATGGGTTTCGTCACTTTTCTGTTTTGAGGAATGTTTGCGATTAAGGCTGTGCAATTAATCGAATTTTGATTTTGATTTCAATGTGTGTGTCAAACGATCTCCAAACTCATATAATCAAGTTGAAACGAGGGATATTTTTATATAAATAAGTATATGTATGTACTTTTTTAAAATATAGAGATTGTAGAACAGCTAGATATATTGTTTATTTTGGATACATTTAGGTTTTTCTATGACTTATTTCATGTTCAAAGTATATTTTATTCATTATGTTTTATACATCGCAATATTGCTCTAAGCACATTTGTATTTGTAGCCTATATTTATTTTCAATTTGAAAGTTTTGCGTAAATTTTCAATAACAAAGTTTTGTTTTTTTTCTGAGAGAAATGCTAAATAAATAAAATAATCGTTTGAATAATTGTAACTTCAATAATGACAAAAATAATTGTAATAATGATTTTTTCTATAATCGAGCAACCCTAGTGTTGATGCATGCAATTTTCATAGTGTGAATTTGTTATATTAATAAGTTTTTTAGATGTTTTTTGTCATTCGATCAATCTTGTCAAGTCTCTCAAAGTGAAAGTAGATCAGTTCATAGAGTGTTTGTCCACTGATACAACGGTTGGAGGTTCAAGTCCTGCTCTCCACATGAAGATCATTGGTAAAGTGGCCAGATCCACTGACCCACAGGTTGGTGGTGCAATTTCAGCTCCCACAGATGAATGCTGTCCTTAGGCAAGACACTTAGGTCTACATCACCACGATTAATATTATTGTTGGTGAAGACTAGGGGTGTCCATGTATTTGTGCTGAACGGTGATGGTACGGGATGTTCGGTTCGGTGCAGAACTGTGCACGAGTGAATTCACACAATTTGAGAATATTTACATTCCAGCTACACGGAAGGCTTGGCTCTTTAATATTCATGAGGGAACTCATCCGTGATTGGGGTGGCAC